AAAAATAGATTACTTAGAAGCAATCAAAAGCATATTCACGAACTAAATGAAAATTTTTCCCATGAAATTGTGATATTAAAGAGAAATTAGAATTAAAAACTAGAAATGAAGAATTCATTACAACAAATAAAAAAATGCAATGGAAAGTCTTAACAGGGTAGGTGAGACAGAAGAAAGAAATATCAGAGCTAGAAGACAAATTTCTGGAAATTGTACAGTCAGACTGAAAAAAAAAAGAAGAAATTAGAAAACTAAAAAACACTGTTGGAAATCTACAAGATACTATCAAACGAACCAAAGGAGTTACTGAAGGCATGGAGAGAGAGAAAGGAATAAAAGGCCTTTTTAATGAAATAAAACCAGAAAGCTCCCCCAATTTAGAGACAGAAAGGGACATCAACATAGGGGAAGCACACAGAACTCCCAATAGACAGGACCAGAAAAGATCTTCACCACAACACACTGTAGCAAAACTCTCTACAGTAAAACACAAAGAAAAGATTCTAAACTGTGCACCAGATCACATTTAGAGGAACCCCAAATAGACTCACAGCAAATTTCTCATCAAAAACCCTACAGGCTAGGAGAGAATGGCAAGATATATTCGAAGTCTTAAGAGAAAAAAAAAAAAAAAAAAAAAACTGTTAACCCAGAATACTGCACCCTGCAAAGCTCTCATTTATGAATGAAGGTGAAATAAACACCTTCCATAACAAACAGAAATTGAAAGAATAGGTAAATACCTGCTCAGCCCTACAAAAGATGCTCAAGAATGTGCTACACACAGAAACACAGAAACAGGAACATCACTACAAAAGAAGGTGAAGGCTGAAAATCGCCCAGAAAAAGCAAAAAGGAAACCCTAAGTAAAAAAACAGGACTATTAATGGAAATATGACAGGGCAAAGTCGATACTTAACAATAGTCACCCTGAATGTAAATGGCCTCAACTCACCAGTTAAAAGACACAGACGGGCTGAATGGATTAAAAAACAAAACCCATCTATTTGCTGCCTACGAGAAACACATCTCATCCACATAGATGCATGCAGACTGAAAGAGAAATGATGGAAAAAGTTAACCCATGCTAACAGAAACCAAAAGAGAGCTGGCGTAGCCATCCTAATACCAGACAAAATAGACTTTACTACAAAAACTATTAAGAGACAAAGAAGGGTACTTTATAATAATTAAGAAACCAATTCAACAGGAAGATTTGACTATTATAAATGTCTATGCACCTAATTACAGGGAACCTGGCTATTTAAAAGTAATGTTAAGGGACTTAAAGAGAGACATAGACTCAAATACAATAGTAATAGGGGACATCAATACTCCACTTTCAGCAATAGACAGATCAACCAGACAGAAAATCAGCAAGGAAACAAGAGTTAATTGACACTATAGAACAAATAGACCGAAGAGATATCTACAGAGCTTTGCATCCTATAGCCACAGAATATACATTCTTCTCTCCAATGCATGGAACTTTCTCTAGGATTGACTACATGCTAGGCCATGAAACAAGTCTCAGGAAATTCAAAAAAAATCGAAGTCACACCATGCATATTCTCTGACCAAAACTGAATAAAATTGGTAATGAATCCCCAGAACATTTGGAAGCACATGAAGACTGAACAACATACTCCAGAACGAACTGTGGGTCATCAAAGAAATCAAGAGAAATCAAAAATCTCTTTGAAACAAATGAAGATGATAATACAACATATCAAAACTTATGGGATACAGCAAAAGCAATGTTAAGAGGAAAGAGTATAGCAATTGGAGCCTACATCAAGAAATTGGAAAGGCAACAAATAAATGAGCTATCAATGCATCTCAAGGACCTACAACAATAACAACAAAACAAATCCAAAACTAGTAGGAGAAAGGAAAAAAATTAAAGAACTCAACAAAATCAAAACCAATAAAAGAATGCAAAAAAAGAAAAATGAAGAACTGGTTTTTTGAAAAAAATAAATAAAATTGGCACACCATTGGCCCAACTAACAAAAAAAAAAGGAGGGAGAAGACCAAAATTAATAAAATCAGAAATGAAACAGGAAATGTAATAACAAATACCACAGAAATAAAAAGAATCATCAGAAGTTACTACAAAGAGCAATATGCCAACAAAATGGGAAACCTAGACGAAATGGATACATTCCTGGGCACTTATGCTCTACCTATATTGAGCACTGAAGACACAGAAAACCTAAACAGACCAATGACCAAGACAGAACTCGAATCAATAAAAAAGACCCTCCCAAAAAAGAAAAGTCCAGGACCAGATGGCTTCACCACTGAATTCTACCAAACATTTAAAGAACTAACTCCCATTCTTTTCAAGTTATTCAAAACAATCTAAAGGGAGGGAATCCTCCCACATTCTTTCTATGAAGCCATCATCACCTTAATTACTAAACCTGAAAAAGATGCAAAGGAGAAAGAGAACTACAGAACAATCTCTCTCTGATGAACACAGAAGCAAAAATACTCAACAAAATACATTCAGTTGAATCCAACAACACATCAGAAAGATCATTTACCTGGATCAAGTGGGATTTATTCCTGGAATGCAGGATTAGTACAACATTCGCAAATCAATCTATGTGATACATCACATTAACAAACTGAAGAACAAGAACCATAAGATTATCTCAATAGATGCAGAGAAAGCATATGAAAAATGCAACACCCTTTCATGATGAAAACTCTAAGCATATTGGGATAGAAGGCACATTTCTCAACACAATCAAGGCAATTTATGAAAAACCCACAGCCAACGTCCTATTGAACATGGAAAAGTTGGAAGCAATCCCACTGAGTTCGGGAACCAGACAAGGGTGTTCACTATCACCACTGCTTCTCAATATAGTCTTGGTCTGGCTAGAAAGCCCACAAGAGCATTTCAGGCATGGAAAGCCAAGACACACTGGAAAAAAATGTTCTACATAAAAGACCTCTGTGGGTGAGAACCTAGTGGAAACAAGATGTCACCAAAGAAGGCTGTACTTTTCTCTAAAGGGAGGAGAGAACTTCCACCTTGCTCATGGTCCTGTCAAGCTAATAGATCCATAAGGCATCTATAGCAGAGGAAGCCCATGTCAAGAGTCTTGGTTGATCACTGATGTCATTCATAAGCGTGTTATTTATAAAATAAACAATAAAAGTCACTGTGAACTAACTTCCCATGCAGGACCTCTGACCCCAACTAATTGTATCATGAGACTAAATAGTAAAATTTGTTCTCAAGAATCACTTCCTTTTAGTGTACTAAATGGAGATTATTATGTCTCATAAGCTAGAATTATATCCAAAAGCTCACAAAACATGTATCATCCTTGGATTGTTCTTTTTTTTTTTTTTTTTTTTTTTTTTTTTTTTTGACAGGCAGAGTGGACAGTGAGAGAGAGAGACAGAGAGAAAGGTCTTCCTTTGCCGCTGGTTCACCCTCCAATGGCCGCCGCTGCAGCCGGCGCACCGCGCTGATCCTGGCAGGAGCCAGGAGCCAGGTGCTTTTCCTGGTCTCCCATGGGGTGCAGGGCCCAAGCACCTGGGCCATCCTCCACTGCACTCCCTGGCCATAGCAGAGAGCTGGCCTGGAAGAGGGGCAACCGGGACAGAATCCGGCGCCCCAACCGGGACTAGAACCCGGTGTGCCGGCGCCGCAAGGTGGAGGATTAGCCTATTGAGCCACGGCGCCGGCTGGATTGTTCTTTAAAAACAAATAAGTTTCTAAAAGTCTAAAAGGAAAGAAGAGGGAGGGAGGAAGGGAAAGGAGGAAGGAAAAAAAAAAAAAAAAAAAAACCTCAAAACTCCACAAAGTCACTTTTGAGGAGCAGTAACATACAACAGCCCTTGTCTAGACTGTTGAAGAACAGTTCTCTTAGGTTTTTTTATTCCATTCTTTCTTTCACCCTGTTTCTTTTTCTTTCTCAGACTAAACAGGAGAGGGAGGAGAAAGGGGGAGGAGTGGGTGGTGGGAGGGTGGGCATGGTGGGAAGAATAACTACGTTCTTAATGTTGTATTTATGAGATACATACAAATAAAATGAATTAATTAATTAACTTTAAAAAAGTAGTAGCTGGAAGGCTCATCCTGGCCTTATTACTCATCTCAGTTGGAAAGCCTCTAGGTTCTCACCACTGGGTATGAAGTTAGCTGTAGGATTTTGTAAATATTCAATAGCAAGTTGCTGAGAGTTTTAAGTCATTATTGGGTTGTGATTTTGCCAAATGCTTTTTCTGTGTCTATTGATATGATCATGTGATTTTTCATCTTCAGCCTGTTTACGTGAGGGATTACATTAAATGATGTCTGATGACAATAAAAATATAAATAAAGTGAATTTTACAATGGCTTCCCGAAATAAGATTTTGAAGCCCATCATTTCATTCTAACCTGTTCTATGCTTAATATTCAAGAACCTAGAGGCTTTTCTAGCTCAATCCACAGGCTCCCTCACTCAATATATGGGTCCAAAAATAAATCTCTGGGCCCATGCAGGGAAAACATGGGAGGAAAGACAGTGGCAGAGCACATGCAGGAGGTAAGGGTGCAGGATTCCAGATATTCATCATAATTGCTTTCAGCCCCATGTATCTTCTACCCTCTTCAGCAGCCCCTGATGCCTCCACATTCTCTGGCATTCCAAGGAAAATCTTACAAAAAATAAAACTGAACCAAGAACAAAACCGCAGGCTTACCATGATGTGTTTACATGAAAGACCGAAAGAGAATACCTCAAAACAAAAACAGTTGCAGTAGAAATTGCTGATGAAACAATCACTTGCAGAATAATTCATGTGAAGCATTTAACAATTCCCATTAAAGATTTTTTAATTCAGTCAAGAGTATGTTTCAAAAACCTCACCTAAGCTCTCCAAATCAAGGAAGCCAACAAATAAGGAACCATAGGTCATACATCCCTCTCCCTAGGCCATGATTCACCCAACCCACAAAGAAACGAAGGTGCCTCTTGCTGGCTCATACTGACCTGCACTCCAGCTCCTCACACCAATCTTTAGCTCGGTGTCTACGTTCATGCCAAGGAATGATCATCAAGGAATCACCATTAAAACTTAAATTTAAAAAAAAAGAAAAAAAATAAAGTTTAAAATACACAATACCTCAATGACTAGCTACACAAGAAATATTTTGCATAAAATATTACTATAACCTTCATGTAAAAAATTTGAAGTGGTTCATGATGCATTTTTTATATAGCAAGTGAATACCACATGGCTGATTTCATTTGAATCCTAAAATAGCTCAGAAAGAAAAGGAAAATCACAAAGAATCTGGCAAGCAATTGAAGGAAGTCAAGGTACATGTTCATTTACACATTTGGAAACATCCCCAAGAGGCTGTATTATATGTACATTCTTCATACCAACAGAAATGATCTCTTGCCCCAAAAGCTTACAGCGTAGAGCAGCACAGTCTAATAGTATTTCCTGTGATCACAGACAGGGTCTACATCTGTGCTATCCAACCTGATTACTAGTTACTTCAACACACAGTAAACAATTGAAATATGGTTACTGATATTAAGAAAATAAACTTCAATTGCATTACATTCTAATTAACGGAGGGACTACCATATTGGATAGCACAGCCCTAATGGACGAATAATAGAAAGAGTGGAGGGATGTTTTTGCAGGGTGAAAATACCTAAAAGAAGACAGAAAGAAAATATAAAGAGACAAAGAAAAGGGCCGATTGGATAAAATGAAGAATGAATCAAAAAGAGAAAGCAAAGTTAAAAACAGTATAATAATACAGTAGAATCAGGAGATAAGGGAAAGAGAAACATCTATCCCAGGCTACACAATCTCTCACACGTGACTTTCTAAAGTGAACAGCCTTAAACACTATCTCTATGGACTCCTATAGCTGTAACATTTAGAAATCTATGAAAACTCAATCATTCTGAATGAAGAATAACATCACATTTTTTAAAAACAAGCTTCAACTGCCTTGCTTTTACAGTATTTTGATAAAAAACCTTTTTTCTCATATTCCTAAATATCAATAGAAATATGTTACTAAAATTTATCATAGCCTCAGAAAAAAATTATACTTTCTTTTACTATCAGTTTATGAAATATGCTTTGCACAGAAATACTTCATAAATGTTTGAAAATTAGGTTGGTGAAGAGATTGGTCTTCATGTAAAAAGTAATAGGAAACCACTGAAGGGTTTTAAAAGAGAAGAGGAAAGCTAATGAGGTCTGGAAGGGGCAGTGATGATTCATCAATCAACTGCACTGCCCTTGCAGTTATTACTGGGGCAAATTATCCAAAGTCAAGGTTCTCCACTAGATACACAAAACAAGTTTATTGTGTAGTATATTAAAAACACAGATTTCTCAGTTAGCATGTAACAGCCTAGCAAACTAAGTACCAGAGACATATTTCTGAAGGAGACTGAATTCACATTTTAAAATTTTTGAATCATTCAGATGATGATTTAGAACAGATGCCACAATCACACTATGTCTTTTGTCACCAAATAAAAAATCTATTTTATTTCCTTTCATGTCAATAACTAATATTTTATCACAGACAAATGAAATGAAAAGTAAGAAAGATAACATTTGGATACAATGATAATGATAATGCTTACTCTTCCAACCTAAGAATAAATTTCAGTAATGAATTGAGGAACAGGGAAAAATAAACTTAGCAAGTTATTATGCCTTTTCAAAATAAAGCAGAAACAGTTCCTTAAGCTACACAAAATGTTTTCTAAGGAATTTTAGAAAAAATGTATCAAAAGAGTTGCATTTTCTATATACAGTATGTAACACATACAAGGGTTTCTACTAAAATAATTAATAATGGTGTGAGACCTGCAGCAAAAGAACATTTCTTTGGTACTTACAGGTTAGAAAATCGTAAGATTTTGTTATCTTTACCAAACAGAAATAGAACTAAGAATGAAATAAGAAAATAAACCTATTTTTACCAAAACATAGTAAGAACAAATTCTGCTCAAAGGTCCACTCTAAGAGTGAAGCCTGAAGAGTTCGGGCTGACAAAAGAATATTTGCTGCATTTTCAGGGTGCAGCGCAAGAGGACTGTTTCTAAATGTGCTGATGACCACTGACATAATAGTGATGGTGTAACAGTATCACTAACACATTGTATATCAACAGTGGTCAGCAACAACAATAGTCCTTAACATGCATTGATCATTTATCGTGGACCAGATGGTATACAATGCTTTTAACAAACAAGATCTCAATACAGCCCTCCCAGTCTTACGGAGGACATATCACTTCCCCCTATTAGAATGAGAAAACTAAGATTTAACTTATCTTGTCAGTCATCATAAGACTACTAAATGACAGAGCCAGAATTTGAACACAATTAAACAGTTACAAACCAAAGCTTACAATTTTAGGTGACATACTATATACGGTTTGAGAGAGAGCCCCAAACCATATTTCCACCCTTGTCCTGCTTCATATGTAAGAGCAACCAGTCACATCATGTACACAGCAAGCAGAAAGTAATTTGAGCCTTCCCAAGATGTAAGACAAACAACCCAGTAAGAACCATTTTCATGCATCTTCAAATGATACATTTAAACTAAAATATATGACTAATAAGTCTGATGAAAATAATGTTTACCAAATATGGCATAATATTATGTCTGAGCACCAAGGTTTACTTAAAAAAATAAATTTAAAACAAACTTTCTAAAAAAGATTTTCTGCTTATTCATTTTCTTATAGGATGCTTTTGCAAAACAAATTATTTTAAACTAAATCTTAGAAGTTTGAATTGCTTCTTATAAATGCATCAAAATTCCTTTCTGAAATAATTAGGTAAAGTTATTAATCAAATATCTGGAAATTACATGTTCCTTTTATAGAACTATTAAAAGTTTGGTCAGTTGAAAATCTTGCATTTCTAAATTTATATAAACACAAAATTAATTACATATACTTTTTAATCTTATTCTTCTACTTTTTCTACTTCGCTCAGCAAGTCTTAAAATTTAAATGTAACATCTTTATTCACAAAAGTAATTACAAGGAAAACTTTGAATCACCTCTTTACAAAATAATGCCACTTTTGTTTAATTTTAGGATTCATTATATTAGAACCTCATTCACTATATTATCCCAAACAATAAACTCCGCCTGTTTCATCTGAAGGTAATAGTTATCTGTCAGCAGGAAAGAAATGAATATAACAAGTTCTATTATATTCAACAATTTTCTCACCAGTCACTTTTCACACTAAATATAAATGTTTTATTTCAAGGAAATTTTATCAAGAACAGACTTCCAAAAAGTTATTTTATTTATGTTCTATGCCTTGGAACAAAAGGCTAAATAGACAGTATATTGCCACTAATTGCCACTTTTTATACACTGACTTTAAGATGTAGAGTTGTATTTATTTCCTTTATTAGTACAGGATAAAATGTTCTGGTAAATAAAAGACAAACAATAATAATAATTTGGGCCTACATGTGTAACCACACTGTGGCTACCAACACTGAAGAAACTGATTTGAAACTCAATGGGAAACTAACTAAAAAGGAATTATCACTCATAATACTAAATTGGAAACAAGCTCTCCAAAGGCATCATTAAGAGTTCTCTTCTGGACCAAGGAGATTCAATTTCATTAATAAATAACTTAGGAAACAAAGCAGAAACTAATAAAATACCAAAACTGATCAGTAGTCACAGATGCTAGCAAATGTGTATAAAAGACAGAAATGACAACAAAAGGTTCCAATATTTGGCTTCTCCTCCTCCCACCACCACCATTACTGGGACTCAGCTATCTCATCTATTTAATAAATACTGTAATATTACATACCCCAATAAGGAGAAGACCAAAGCAAATATTTTCATGAATTCTAGTCTATAATAAAGCGTATGCTCTGTGTCAGAACAGTGACTCCACCCTGCAGAGCTGCGTGACCTTGATGGAGTTATTCAATCTGCCTGTGCCTCTATTTCCTCACTACTGAAATAAAGATACAGAAATATTTACCTCATCTGAGTGTGGGAAAGATCACATTAGTACACACAAAGTCTGCAGAACAGGACCTGGTGCACAGTATCTGTGTAATACAGACTGACCACCACAAAACACCAGCAACAGGGGGAAATACAAGTAACTGGCTGATACTTCAAGATCTACTTCCTGATAAAAACACCAGATTCATCACCATATCGATGGTTAGATTTACAAAGACTACTTAACTACAATAAACTCTGCTTACACCATCCTGGGTAAAATGAAAACAGGCCAACGCAATAACAGTAGTAAGGAAATATGACAAGGGATCGGTACTTAGCACAGTGGTTAAGATACCACTTGGGATACCCGGATCCCATACTGGAGTACCTGGACTCCAGTGCTGGTTGCACTCCAATTCTAGATTCCTGCTGAAACACAGCAGGTTGTTTGTTCTCTGCAACTCACATGGGAGACAAAGATTGAATCCTGGGTTCCTGGCTTTGACTTGGCCCAGCACCACTTACCGCAGGCATCTGGGGAGAGAACCAGCAGAAGAGATGTACCACCCATCCCGCCTTTGAGACAAAAAATATGTACCATCTAAATTTGTCAAATATAAAACTACTGAAATGTAACAATGTTCATCAACGTACATTATAAAACGTAAGCAATATGAGTTTGTAGGACTAATGTATTTTGAACAAAAGAATTAGGAATCCAATGGTTTCGTATCTTGGGCTTAGATTCTTGATCCACTGTGTGTCAATTTTTGTATAGGGTGTAAGATAGGAGTATTGCTTCATACTTCCCCATGCCCAGACCTAACTTTCCCAACACCATTTGCTGAAGACTGTCCTAGCAGCCAACACTGTGGCATAGCAGGTAAAGCCACCGCCTGTGGCACTGGAATCCCATGAGTGCCGGTTTGAGCACCAGTTGCTCCAGTTCCAATCAGCTCCCTGCTGATGTGCCTGGGAAAGCTGCAGAAGATGGCTCAAGTGCTTTGGCCCTGCACCCACGTTGGTAATCCAGAAGAAGCTCCTGGTCTCTGGCTGTTGTAGCTATTTGGGAAGTGAACCAGTGGATGG